GCTCCTCTGTTATCAACGAGAGGAACGTCTGTAATTCCTCAACAGACAACGAAACAGACACTTTTTTGGTTGTTAAAAAAGGTGCGCTTGTTCAAAACAGTTGCGTTCGATCCTTCGCTGGCTGTGCTGATTTAAATCTAGCGGTTCTGTTGTGTTAGTGTCGCAAGTTCAGTGACGCAGGTAGTGACGATTCTCTCCTGCCAATCCGTGATCAGCAGTTTACACATCACGTTTTGGTAACGGTACGGTTCACTTGGAACCTCAACCGAGGTGGTACTAAAAAAAGTACCAGGTACCAGGTACTGTACCCAGTGGAAAATCCCCCAAATGTGAACCGTACCGAGCCGTACCATGCAGTGGAAAAGCGCCATTAGACACACACTCACGAATCCCCGTTGCCATTTTAAAGTGCGTTCTACTTTGTGAAGTGGAAGAGGGAAGTTTTCAAGGACAGACCCTCGATTCTACGATTTTGACTGAGGGAGCGAGTTCACTTTATATGTACACTTTAGGTTGATCCATAGACCACAGTGCAACAAGATTGTGACATCACCGCAGATTGTGTTTAATTTATGCTCACTCTAACGCTGACAGCACACGCACGTCTGTTTGACATATGCATTTACATCTGCAAGAGTGTTTGCTCATCTGCAATATATCTATAGGATGTTTCCTATAAGATGTCAAATAGACGGAGGGAAGTTAGTGAGTTAAGGGCATAAAAAAAACTGACACCAGTTGATTACGTCACATAAAGAGCCTTAGTGTATAAAAGGGCACCTGTATTACGTCGTCAGCTTTGTTGTCTTGAGGAAGCCACTTGTATGTGTGCTGTGTGAAAAAGCAGAAAGAAAAAGATAAAGCATGTGTGTTTAGAAAGTGTATTCCACCTGGTCCTCGTTATTTTATGCCCAGCAATGCACACAATTTATGTGTGATCTGTTTGGGAGCAGAACACGCACGTTCAGCCTTCAAGGGGGCTGAATCTGTGGATTTTTTTGTTAAAAAGCTCTGCTCTCACCTGCCTGTCTTTGTGAGAGATAGGAGACAGACTTCTGAGCCTTGTGGTTAGAGCCCTGTGTCTGCTAAGGCAGCATGGCAACTGTGATCGTGGGGATCTCAGATGGAGCTAGCAGAGGAGTTTGACAGGGGTTTCCTTTGCTTCTGGATGACTTTGAGATCTTTCAGGCAGACAGAACTAGTAACTCGGGGAAAGTGCGGGGAGATGGGGTGTGTATGTACATCAACTCGTGTTGGTATACTAATACAGGGATTAAAGTTTGGTCGTTACGATGGATTTCCGTCAGTTCATAAAGACAGTCACTTGCT